CAGGCCTGTGATTCTTACAATGCTATACAACCCATTTTGGCTTCCATATTTGCATAAATACAGCCCTATGACCACCTCATCTGTACAGGGGAAGTGGCAACCTCTCTGTTTTGATCTTTGAAACCCATGACAGTATTTTGAGGGAACGTATTTTTTATGAATTAGGAAGTATCGTATCGTAGAGTAGTTACAGTCTTAGTTTAATTTATAACGTGTCTTTTAAGGAAGTTTAATGAATTGATAGTGTGATAAAAAAAAAAGAAAAAAAAACAGAAACAAAGAAAAAAAAAGTCGATGTTCATTAAAGTATTTGACGCCATTTTGTGATTCTTTAACGCAAGCTCTTTCCTTGCTCAGGTTTGTCGAGAGCTTCCTACTTAAAAAACAAAGTGAAGAAACAAGGTGCCTGTCAGAATTTTTGGAAAGCAGAAAAAAGATTAAGGTAAGGAGACTTTCATGTTTTTCTCTTTGTATATATAAAAAAAAAAAAAACACTATCTTACTAACACTATCTTACCTACCGCTACTTTTGTTTATATTTCTAAGATATATTGAAGTTTATTCATTATCATCAATGCTATACGATGCTTTATGTATATATCTATTCATATTTATATATATACACACACAAACAAACGAACACACATACACACACAAAGAAACAAACACCACACAACACAACACAAACAAACGCACATACATACAAACAATCTATCACATAAACACACACATACATACAAGCAAACACACACACAAACACAAACAAACATAACAACAACAAAACACAAAACACAACAAACACACAACAAACACAACAAACACACACAACACAACAAACAAACACAACACACCACACCCATCCTGATAAAAAAAAAAAATTGTTCTAACCCCCCCTCCCTGTCCCCAGATTTGGCATCAGACGAACCGTAAAACAGCAGTGGTTCTACTGGTTCGTCATCATCCTGGTGTTCCTCAATACAGCTTGTGTGGCTGCCGAACACTACGGCCAACCCGACTGGCTCACTAAATTTTTGTGTAAGGAACCTAACCCCGCCTCTTATGACTTGCTGTTCGTCGGTTGTTCCTTTTGTTATTTTTTAGAAAAGAGAATAATATATCTTATTTGGATTTTTTTCTTTTTTTGTCGTTATTGATGAAGGAAAACTGATATTGTGTTAGTAATGATAGAGGAGAAGTAACTACGGCCAACCCGACTGGCTCACTAAATTTTTGTGTAAGGAACCTAACCCCGCCTCTTATGACTTGCTGTTCGCCGGTTGTTCCTTTTTGTTATTTTAAGAAAAGAGAATATATATTATTTGGATCTTTTTTATCTTTTTGGTCTTTTTTTGTCGTTATTGATGAAGGAAAATGGATATTGTGTTAGTAATGATAGAGGAAGAAGTAACTAATAATAACTACAGTAATTGTAGATATATTACATCTAATAATATCATTAACAATTATGATGTCATCAGTAACAAAGTATTAAATGTGTCGTAATTATCATAATGGTAATAAGAATATAAATGTTTAACTCTAAATTATTGATATCAGTGGTATAAATATTAATGATAGTTGTAATGATAATGATATTGATTATGATAATTGATGATGATAATAAAAATAATGAAAATAATAATCAGTATTATCGACATTATCATTATTAGTAATAGTAATAGTATATAGTAATAAAAGCAGTGCTAGTAGTAAGAATCATGATGATAATAGCAATAATGATAATATCGATAGTAATATCAATAATGACGATGATAATGATGAATATAGTGATAATAATGATAATGATGATAGTAATGATCATGATAATATTAGTAATACTGGTAAGGATAATAATGATAATAATGATAATAAAACTAAAAATGATAACACTAAAAATTATCATAGTAAGAGTATTAATAATAATAATAATAATAATGATCATGATAATAATAATAATAACAATGATACCAATAATAACAATGATACCAATAATAATAACAACCATAACATTACCATTGACCTTCTAATAACAGAAAGAAAAAAACAAAAAAAAAAAAATAAAAAAATTAAAAGAGCCCCCCAAAAAAATCCCTTGTTCCCAGCCGCTTCGAACCCGAGCTCCGCCCCCACTAACCACCTCTCCTTCTCCTTTTCACGTTGCAGACTATGCAGAATTTATATTTCTAGGTCTATTCATAACTGAAATGTTTGTAAAAATGTACGCCTTGGGGGCAAGAATATACTTCGAGTCTTCGTTCAACCGATTCGATTATCTTCTTGATTCGGTCAATCTTTGAGGTCGTTTGGTCGTCCTTCAAGTCCGGCTCCTTCGGGCTGTCGGTGCTTCGCGCCCTGCGTCTCCTGAGGATCTTCAAAGTTACAAAGTGAGGGGGATGGATGGCTGCGTGTTCTTGGGGTCTAAGCTTTTGTTTTGTTTTCTTGTTTTCTTCTTCTATTTCTTTGTCTTTCTTCTTTTTTTCTTTTTTCTCTTTCTTTCTTCTTTTTTTCTCTTTCTTTCTTCTTTTTCTTTTTCTCTTTCTTTTTTTTTCTCTTTCTTTCTTCTATTTTTTCTTTCTTATCATTCTTTCTTTCTTTATATTTTTTTCTTTCTTATCATTCTTTCTTTCTTCTTCTTCTTCTACTCTTTCTTTCTCTTTCTTCTTTTCTCTTTTTCTTCTTTTTTTTCTCTCTCTACTTCTTTTTCTTTTTTTTCTACTTCTTGCTCTCTTTTCTCTCTTCTTTTTCTTTTTTTCTACTTCTTGCTCTCTTTTCTCCCTTTATTCTTCTTTAGGCTCTTTTTTTGTCTATCGTTTTCTTCCTTGGCTGGTTTCTTGCATTTCTTCCTCTCTTTCTTTTCCTTCTTCTCTTTTCTCTTTTTTCTCCTTCTTCCTCTCTTCTTTCATTTCTTCTTCTCTTTCTTCTTATTATTTTTCTTGTTCATGTGATTCATAAAAAATGTTAGATTAATGTGATATAATTTATCTCAGTTTATTGACATTAAAGATGGAGAGTCTTTGTTTTATCTCAATTATTTCCTTGATATTAAAGAAGCAGGAATATTCTCATTTCCTCAGAATTATCTTAATTATTTTTTCATGGTTTAGAGAAGCAGGTAAATCATCAGTGTCACACAACTGACCTCGTTTCCTCCCGACAGGTACTGGGCCTCCCTCCGTAACCTGGTCATCTCCCTGCTGAGTTCCATGAGGTCTATCATCTCTCTGTTGTTCCTGCTCTTCTTGTTCATCCTCATCTTCGCCCTCCTCGGCATGCAGCTGTTCGGTGGGTCCTTCAACTTCCCCGAAGGAACTCCGCTCGCCAACTTCAACACTTTCGCCATAGCTCTCCTAACCGTGTTCCAGGTGAATCCTACCGTCGTTTGTTCCCGTGTGGTGTTTTTTTGCTGTCGTTTCGATGTCGTTTGCTGTTTGTTTGTGTGTTTTTTTTAACTACATAGATAAGAGACTTTTTTTTTCTTTACCTCGTATAATAGGATGTGTACTCTCTTATTTTTTTTAATGAACGTGAATTTTGAAGCATTTTAAAGTAGTTAGAAGAAGGAAAAGAGAAGATAGAATTTTTTTTTAATATCTCGTTTAGACCTGATCCAAACTAAGGAGGACTCACGCCCCGTCCAAGCCTCCGCCGCCGACTAACAACCTTTCTCCTGGCAGATTCTCACGGGTGAGGACTGGAACGAGGTCATGTACAATGGTATCGCCTCACAGGGTGGTATTAAGTCCGGCATGATCTACAGCCTTTATTTCATCATCTTGGTGATCTTCGGTAACTACACTCTCCTAAATGTGTTCTTGGCTATCGCCGTCGATAACTTGGCAAACGCGCAGGAACTCACGGCGGCTGAGGAGGAGCAGGAGGAAGAAGATAAGGAGGTCTGTGTTGATGAAAAGGAATGTGGTATTCTTTTTCCCGACTACTCTGTAGAAGCTCTTAGTCCTCTGGCGTGGCTGGGCGAGTGGACGAGGCGGGAGGGACCGGTCAGGGGGGGGGGTGCTGCTGCTGTTCGTGGGCGGCGTGGATGGAACTCTGCATGGTGTAAAGTCTGGTTTAGAGAAGCTTTTTAGACGTCGAATGGAAGGTGTGCGTCTGCGCGGGTGAACTGTGACCTAAAGTTTCTTTTGGAATGAGTAAGTGCCGATCTGGTGATGATTTCTGTACAGTTATTCTCACCAGGAAGGTCACTATTTATAACAAATCTTCATTGGACTTGTATAAGAGATGCGTATGAATGCGGGGGAGAGAAAATGAATATTGATGTTTCTTTAGAATTTTTAGCTTTAAAGAAAGTTAAAGGGAAGGCTGCTAGATAGCGTCGATCAAGCAAGAGTTCAGTTGACAAGATAAACCACATAAAATTCTAAGGTTCTTAATTACAATATATTTATGGATTTTTTTTTTTTTTTTTTTTTTTTTTTTTTTTTTTTTTTTTTTTTTTTTTTTTGTCACATCTGCTTCTACTTCATTTCAAAACGAAAGCTTTGCACTGGACTTAAACATCTTCCTAGGACTCTATGGACTCTTACGAACGCCCTTGTCCTGAGCCATTGCTCGACTCGACTGCTCTGTTAGGCCTAGGACATCCGTATCTGTCATTTTATTCACTATATCTATGGCATCGCGTCCGAATCGAGACGGGCAATTTTAACCGAACAAAACCTGTCCGGAAGGTAGGTTGCAAGATGCCACGTTTTTGTTTTGTTTTTGTTTTTTTTCCTCTTCTTCTTTTTCTTTTTCTTTTTTTTCCATTTTGGTTTTCATAGAATCATCGAACACACTGCAACATTTTACCATTTTCTCTTTATATATATATTTTTTTTAATTTTCACTCTCTCCCGTGACTTCGAAATCATGGGCCATTTTAGAACTCTTGTATGTGGAATCTTTAACCAGCGTTGATGTTGCTTTTTCTTCAAGACTATTTTTTTGACCAGTGTATACTTTATTTTTGAAATACGGAAGTGTTATCTCCAAGCATCTAGATAGCACGGAGATAGTGTAGGATAGCATAGAACCTTCCCAATCTGACGGCGAGAGGGTTGTCTAGCTCATATCCTGAGGCTTAGTTCTAGTCTGTAGACAGTGAATTTTTAGTCTGCAATGTCTGCAGTTAAGGTAGCAAGAGATATTATTATAGCCTATGTAGATTTTGTATCTATATATATTTTTTGTGTAAGAGAGAGCAAAAAAAAAGAGAGATTTTCAATGCCAAAAAAAAAAAAAAAAAAAATGAGAATCCAACTTTTGAAAGGAAATTATTTCTTGACTAGAGGTAGTGGGAACATTTTCTGGAACTTTTTTACTTAAATTTTTCTTTCATCTCTGTCTGCCTGCCCGGAAATGACGGTAACACCATCTACTACCCAACCACTATCGTCTGACGCATGTCCACACCCGTCTCACATCGTCGACTCTGAACAAAACCCGGTTTCACTGTTCAACAACGGCGTGGTTACCCCTTTCTATACTTTTTTTGGAATATCTCCTTATATCCTTTCTATGTGAAACCTTTTTTTTTGACACCTGAAATACATTTTCGTTTGTTTTTTGTTTTTTACTATTATTTTTTTATCATTTTCACTTTTTTTTTTTTTTTTTTTTTTTTTTTTTTTTTTTTTTTGACATGTCTGAACACATAATTCTTCCTTTGTGTCAAACAGAGTATAATGCTAGAGCTGCACACGATAGTCTTTTTTTTTTCTTTTTTTAGTTTCATCCACAAACTATTATGTGTTACATCGGTGTCACTGTGGTTATTTTGTGCCCTTAGAACCCACAGGTTTCGAAGCTTCAACTGTAGTCTGCTTCCAGTGGAGAACTTTTGTTAGACTTGACCATTAGTAACCATCCCGTATGACCCTTGCGGTAGAGGAGCATAGGGACCGTTTCCCCTTGGCGCGCCTTGGGGCCCGTGGTGAGGGAAATTGGCTCTTGCGTCCTCCTACCCAAGGGTCATCGTAGAGGAATGATTCGCTAAACCCAGTAGATGGCAACGCTTCCATGGTAGCGCGTTCGTCATAGATTGTTACTGTGCTTCTCTCAGACCTAGTGCTCGCTTCTTCTCTACATACGTCTATTTACCTTTCTATCTGTCTATCTATTTTTTCTAGCTTTCTCTCTCTCTCTCTGTCTCTCTCTCTGTCTCTGTCTCTGTCTCTGTCTCTGTCTCTGTCTCTGTCTCTGTCTCTGTCTCTGTCTCTGTCTCTGTCTCTGTCTCTGTCTCTGTCTCTCTCTCTCTCTCTCTCTCCTCTCTCTCTCTCTCTCTCTCTCTCTCTCTCTCTCTCTCTCTCTCTCTCTCTTCTCTCTCTGGTCTCTACTTATCTATCTATCTCCCAACCTATCTCCCTCTCCTTCCTCTCCTCTTTATTCACCACTTTCTCCAGTCTCTTTCGCAAGCAGCTGCTCATTTCTCCTCTCACTGCTTCTTCACTGTTACTGCTGCCTCACATCCACCCCTTTTCTGCTCTCCCATTTCTATTAAACTTCATCCACCCCTTTTTCTGCTCTCCCCTTTCTATTAAACTTCATCAGAGCAACTTCAATTATTCGGTGTCTTCCCCTTGGGCGCGTTTGATGGTTCAGAGTCCCTTGGAATGACAACAACAGGGATCCAGTACATCTTTTCCCTTAATGTTGTTGAGTGCCCCTTGGGTAGGAATTCGTCCCTTGCCTTTTGGATTGGTCTATGTACCGTGATTGAGCGAGTCTTCTTTCTAAACCTGAACCCAGATCTGAATTTATATAATCTTTCCTTGCTAGTTTTAGTTTTTTTTGTTTTTTTTTTTATGTTTTTTCTTTTTTTTTCGGTCTTGCGCATCAAACACGCCCTCGTTGTATTCCCCCTGGACGTTGTGTGGTACTTAGAGAGCAGATCCTTGCCCCCCCCCTCCCCCGCCCCCTCCAACACCTCTACACCCTCCCCTCCCCTCTCCCCCCCCATGAGTGTAATATCTGAGCCTTATGAGCTTCATCTTGGTAGTGCCTGAAGAACGACATAAGCTTCTCAGTATCTAGAATGTAGGACTGTCTTTTTGTCTAAATAATATCTGGTGATTTTGATATGACCCGTCAGTGCTATCCCCCCTTTTGAGTACTTTGATATTTGAGCATCTGATACATTTCACTTTTCTGCCATACATTTTTTGGCAGTTAGTTTGTTACATGACATACTGAGACAATTTATTTTTTTGTACATCATCTGATAGCATGAGCTCAGTCCTCAGACACGTTTTATTTTCCCTTTTTCTTCCTCCAACCCCGAAAAAAAAGTTTATGTGTTTTTTTTTCTCTCGTGACTGAGATTGTAAGCCTCTTTCAAGCGTGGAAGCGACCCAGAAAAGGGTATTCTCAGCCGGTGACTGCCAGGCTGCTAGAATACCCAGAAAAGGGTATTCTCAGTTGCCGTTGTCCAAAGCGTTTGCTAACTTTCGCTACGGAGATATTTGCCGAGACGCAGAGCCTAGAAACATACCCACAGTTTAAAGAGGGTAATTCTTTCAGCCGAGGATGCACTGCCGTCTGCTAGAATACTTAGAATAAGTGGTAATTCCTGCAGCGCAGTGCCTCGGCCGATGACGGGGACTGCTGTGAGGTTGCGGAATACCCGAAAAGGGTTATCTCAGCGTGGGTCTGCGGCACGGCTTGCTCTAGACAATATTCTGGACCGGAACCGTCCTCTCGGGTCGGATTGGTTCGTTTATTGAGTTTTGATCGGTGAACGGTTAACACATCTACCCCGTCGACGCGCAGGTGCTTAGAAAGTCGCCACTCTTTCCCCCTACACAAAGAAGGCAGCAACGCCCGAGACCTTGGAAAGAAGGAGCGTGGAGGCGCTCTCGCAGAACAGCGCGGAAACGGGCGCCGCAAGGGTGAGACGATCTGCCCCTTTCTATGCTCGCTGATTACCAGGACGGATAACGAAAACAAGATGAAGTGAGTGTCCCTCTCCTCTATGTCGCTCGCTTCTTTTATAAACTCCAGCAGCGAGTACCTCTTCTCTAGTGTTGTTGCATAGAAAAAAAGCTTGGAGAGAGATTTGATGATTATATACTAACACAAATATCTTAATAAGTGCGACAGACTTTACGGTTTGGTTTCAGTTAGGCGGAAGGCTCAAACGAATGAAAGCCTATCTTGCGTTGCTTTTATGGTAGGAGACATAGATTCTGCACTAGAAATTCCCTATGAGCATTTATGTGTGAGAGCTAGTAGCAACCTTTGATGATATTGTATTATGGATATTGATTGTAAGGCGCTACAGTTGACATGAGTAATATGCATCACTATACATACACTACATGCATACATACATACATATATATATAATTATATATTAATATAATATATGTATATGTATCTATACGTATATTTTTTTAATTATAACGGCTATACACCTTGTAATGTTTTCAGCCTAGGATAGCTATTGTATATGCTGACTATTACAAGCTACTAACAATTTTGGATTGTCGTCCTAGCTTGGCCACTATTCGCAGAAATCCTTGTTTCATACTGCACTCGAGACGACCAAAAGGAGTGCTAGTGTTTGGTCGCGGTGTCTTATGCACCATGTGATCCTTGGCCTCCTCTTGCAAGCCTTTTGATAAAATTTTCTTGATATATTTCACAGTGACACAGAACGCGTCAGAAGCAGGGGATCAAAAAGGACAAACGAAGACAGACACCAACAGGAAGCAAAAGAAGGACAGAGTATAAAAGGAAGAATCAAAAGAGGAAGATAGGTCAATAGACACCACATTGCTTGATATTTCATTCACAGTATACTACTATATTCCTATTTCAGGCACCTTAAGACAGCTCGGCTGGCATGTGTGTTCTATTCTGCAGAATGCCATTATCATTGATTACAGGTTACAGCTTGGTGTCCGTTGAAGTCCTATTATCCTTTCTTTACACAATGTCCTTACCGTATTGTTAACGCGAATGTAACTACATCCATGATGGTGTAAGTGTATTGGATGTGAATGTCTAACGTGTTAGTTTTGGCTTCGGAGGGTTCCTAAAGTCACTTCCATTACAAAAAAATAAGAATAACTGTGCATCAAAGGACAATCACACGACGTGCATGGTCTAATTGTTTGGAAGAGTCTGACTGAACTTTTCTGGGTGCAATGCCTTCTTCATCATATTCTGTATGTTGTTAGAATTATTCGATCAAGTCTATTATTACCTTTTGATATCGCTCATAGCGCTTTCGGGCAATCCAATATAGTGGTTTCTGAACAATAAAATAATATATCATAATGTTAGAAAAAAAATGTATCTGTCTTATCCTTAAAATTTTTGTTTTTGACATCTGCAGACTTTTTTTGAGAGCGGCTCAGAGAAGGGGGAATATTGATCGTACCGCAAGTATAGGAATAGGCGTGACGCAGTAAAGAGGCGATGATAAAGGTTTATCTTAAAGAGTGGGAGAGATGGTACTTCTTACAATTGCGGCAGTACAGAGAACCACCGTCTGTTTCTTTGTCCAATATTTCTATGCCTGAGCAGAGCAGCGTCCACTGTTTTGATAAAGTTTATCCAAATCACAAAATTATTACAAGAGATTTGACCTAGAAATAGACCTTGATTTTCAGCTCCACAGGAAGTAATAATTATTTTACTTCTCTATATCTGTAAAGCCCTGCGTTGGTAACATGGTGTGTGAATTTTGCGGGGTCAGGGGGTCTTTGCATATTTATTGGTAGAGGTATATTGCATTATTAAATATATTATTCGAAATATCTGACATAATATATATCATGAGATATATATCTTAATTTATAACTCTAATATTAATACGATGTAGTACACTGACTCACTAATGATTCTGATGGACAACGCTAATACTTCATCGGAATGTAATATTGATGTATTTGTCCATAATGAAAGTATATACACATACGTATATGTGTTTGTTGTGTGTGTGCTGTGTGTGTCTGTGTGTGTGTGTGTGTTTGTGTGTGCTCTATCGTGCTGAAAAGTGCTCGAATAACGTACAGTAATACCCCATTTATCTACTGTATACATTTATATGAAGCCTTGGCCTATCCACCTTATACTCTTGTATTTACTGTTACAGTGTGTGTATATTTATATATGATAATATTCATAGTTATAACTCATTATTCATTTACTATATTATATTTAAATATTAATTGCCAAATATTATGTATAGTTAAATCGTTAATTAGTTGCAAATATCTGTATGTTTATAAATGTAATATGTATAATTACATTTTTAAAATAATACACTATGTGTGTGTGTAGATGTAGTATATATATGTAATTATGTTACTGTATGTATAAAATATTATAAACTTAAATATTTATTTTAATATATTTTTAATTAAATATTTTTATTATATTATTATTAAAAATTATATATTGTTATATATATTTAGAACTATTATTATAGCTAGTGTACATATATTATTTATATCGATGATATATAGGTATATATATATATCATATATATTATTTATTATGATTATAATAATTCTAGTGAAACTAGACTCATCATACTTGATGTTTTGCGTATCTCGCTCGCTGGATTTGTGTATGTTGATGTATATCTATGCGTTTTGTTTTCATTGTTTTATCAAGTTGTTAATCTTTATTTTCTGCACTCTGGGCTGTACATATAGAAGCAAGATGGTGTGCAGTAAGAATATTCTTCCACTGTAACTAGCCTCTCTTTTATTATAAATGGTAATATAATTTTCCGAGTTGCATCGATCTTATGTGATGTAATTCAGTCTCTCCTTGCTTCAATACCAGAGAGGACTCATCAAGTCAAAGCTCCACATGAAGTTGACATTTAAAAAAAACAAAAAAAAAAAAAAAAAAAAAAAAAAGTGTTGTATAAGACGAACAATTTTTCTCGCCTTTCTGGCAACACTGAGCCTTCATGTGGGACAACTTGGGACAAGACGGAGCTAGAAAAAAATGATTATGGTTTCTATTGTTTTTTTTATTTTGTATCTTTCTATCTATTTTGATTTCCTTTTTTATAGTCTCCTTCGGTGATGTCATTCATCCTCTGACATGCCTTTCACTCTATGTCTATGGCTGTTTTTTTATTTCTATTCCTTTGTTCTTATCCTTCTTCCATTCTACTTCATTTGTGTCTTCTGTCTGTGTCTTATCACACTCTCCCTCTCTCCTACAGCGTCCCTTAGAGAAACCCCATCACACATTATTTATCTTTCTGTTACACAAAGTATCTTTTTGTATATGTGTATCTTTTTCATTGGCATCACAACTCTCTTTAAAGGCGTTTTGATATCATTTCCAAATAACCCGTCACCACCCCCCCCCCACCCCCTAAACAAAAAAAATATATATATACGATTTAAAAAATATGAATAATCATTCAATCTCTGAAACCCCCCTTTGTGCGTGGACACAAAGCCCGGAAACCCAGTGGTAAAAAAAGCCTACTTCTCTACAGCAGTAAGCGAGACGGCGGTAAAGATGACAAGGAAGCGGAGAGCGAGAACCAGGAGGAAGACATGGGAGGACCCAAGCCTATGTTACCATACTCTTCCATGTTCATCCTCTCACCCACCAACCCGTGAGTGAAAGATCGTGGTGTTTACTCATAACTGGTGAATCATGTGGCTTGATTTTTTTGTTTATCAGTTTTTTATTTATTTATTTATTTATTTTTGTGGAGGAATTGATATGAAAGACATAGGAGTAAAAGCAAAGTTTCAACAGTTTTTTTTTTCTTGTGGTTAACGAATTTTGTAATATAATTTATGCATGGTGGAAGTGAGACACCATTCTTGTAAAACTAAAGATGACAAATAACCTATTAAGAGACCCATACAACAATATATATAAAAACAACAACTTGCTCTTTAAAAACACAACTCATATCAACTCCAAGACCCCATAAATGATCACACTGACCCCCAAGGCCCCCCTTAGCCTGCAGTCGACCCCACGAAAGCGACTCACACTGACCCCCCAAGGACCCCTAGCCCACACTACCCCACGAAAGCGCCACTCCCCTCCCTCCCCCCAAAAAAGAAAGGAAACCCACGAAAGCGCCCCCGTCCTGTTTCACACTGAACATGGTCGCCATCCAAGGACCTTTTCCGCCTAGCCTCTGCAAGTTGACCCACGAAAAGCGCACGCCGCTCACACTCGACCGCCCAAAGACCCGGAACTCCCCCTAGCCACTGCAGAAAAGACCTGTCCACGAAAGCTGCCACATCCCTCTGCACACTGACCCCGCCAAAGGATCCCCACCCGTCACTATTCAGACCTGCAGAGACCCCCAAGGAAAAGACGCCCCCCCCCCTACACCTCTGGACGCGAACCCCGCAGAGGGACGCCACCCTAGCACTGCCAGTGACGCGCCAAACTCCAACTGAAGCGCCCCCCTCCACACTTCGGACAGCCTTGACAAACAAGGCTCCAAGAATAGCCCAACCGTATAGCACATGACACGAGACCCCAGCGTAACGCGCGAGTCGCCGCCATCCCTATCACACTGACGCGCCCTCGTTCTTTCGGATGCTTTGTTCCCCAGATGTGAAAACTCTAGACTCATGCAACGAGTACGCTTAAACAAAATCATTACCATCGTAAAGCAGCCTTCTCCTCCCATCCTTAAGAAAAGAAACAAAACCTACTGCAAACAAAAAATAAGAGAACCCTAAAATGGATCGCCATATTCTTCCACAACAAAAAGCATCCCAGCTAACATTTTGTGACGTCAATTCGAAAAAGATAAACTGACCCCCCAAGACCGTACCCCACTAGACCTGCAGAGTACCCCCCCACACTGAGATGCGCTTCCTTCTCTCTCTCTGCTCACACGTGGAGCCGTGGCGCGCCTTGCAAGGACCCTCCCTCTATGGCGCTTCGCAGAGTATCCCTATCGATATGTCGTTCGCCTCGCCCCATCCTCTACACTGAACTTTGTCCCACTAGGTACCCTCCCACTTAGCTCCTAAAGAACACAAGTAACCGCAGCTCACGAAAGGCGCTCACCGAAACCTCTCACACGAGACGGATCCCAGCAAGAGACCGCCCTCCCTCCTCAGCTCTGTGCTCCAGCAGGAGACCCTCGCGACGAAATCCTTGGGCAACCTCAGACACAACTCCTCCTCACTCTTAAAATAATCTGAGACCTCTTGACAAAGTGAAACGCCACCTCCTTGAGACCTGCAGTCGACCCCTCTACAAACGAAAAGCGCCCGCCTCCGTCAGCGACCGACCGTACTGAGCCGCTCGTGTTCGAAACACACGGAGCGAACTACTCCTGCAGGAGAAACCATGCCTCGGACCACGTAAATGTCTGCTGCACAGCGCCTGCAACCACTCCTACACGTAAACTCAACATGACATAGCCCCGGCCTCAAGGGGGACCCCCCACTAAAGCCAGCACACGAGGCCATTGATTACTCACAAGAAACGCGCCCTCCCTCTCACACTGCCCAACCCAAGGACCAAAGCTGAAACGTCAAACCCCTAGGCCTGGCAGATGACCCTTGACCAGACGACACAAAGCCGCACTCAGAACCGCCTGCACCCAACACGGCACACCACCACTCTCTCATGACGGCTCCCCAAGCGCACCATTCCTCGCGGACAACCCTAGCCTGCAGAGAACCCCACCGCAAAAGCCACGTCTCCCTCCACCCTACCTCCTCATCTTCTCTTCACTTAGGTCTTCCCCTTCCCATACTCCACCCTTCTTAACACTAGATGCGATTTCGAAGAGCGGGCGAGAGCATTGGGTAGTATGCAATCTACCGCTACTGCATCAACTAATTCCTTGGTGTGTCGTATGTACTTGGACGTGATCATCCTGCAATGATCGTCATCCAACGCTGTCTAGCATCGCCCTTGCCTCAGAGGACCGCCGCAGAGAGGACTCAGAGTGGAACGCTTCCTCAAGCGCTATGGATCAATGACCTTGCTCACCCGGAGGAGTTGTGCGCCATTATGTAGTATTGATTCTGCAAGTATAGCTGCTTAAATGCTACGTTAAGCTGGGTGGTAATACTCGAGATTTCTTTATAATATCATAGTTTTCATATGTATGGCGTTTTAGTTCTTTAAAGTTTTATTGAGGACATATTTGTTGACAAGTCACTGCTGCCTGTGGTCGCGGATCTCTTTTTTTTTTCCATTCTGTGAGGTGTTTTATGTTTAGGATATATTTATTTCGAGAGGTATTAAGTTCTCCTTATTACTGGTATTTAGTTCGTCATATAGCATTATTAGAGCAAAGATTTCGTCTTAGATATGTGCGGATTGTATATACTTTATAACCACTCAATGCTGGTATATATACTGCTTTTGTCTCTTATCATTTATCTAAATAATTTAAGTAATCGCTTAAATAAAGACTACTATTGTCTCCATTTCGGGTTTTGAAGGTATGTTTAATATAGATCGATAACTGTGTCTAACGATGAGTCCAACATAGTCTGAGAGATGATGCATATTCAACATACTAAAATCCATTATTATTTTGGGTCAAGTGATAAATAATAAATTATCTAACAAATGAATAAAATGAATGGATATGCTAGCTAAGAAACTCGGTATGAAATAATATATATCTAGATTATCTAACAAAATGAAAGGATTTTTCTTTTTCAGATCAGGGAGGTTGAGTTAAATCTTATACAGAAATACTCCAGTGAATGTGAGAGAATTTTCTGAGATAATTACCTGGGACACACTATAATATTGCAATACCAATCCAGTATCAGCATAGTCTAGTCACAAAAATCATTCTTCTTATCCTACCTCTATTACTTCCTGTCCCCCGCTACTGATTATTTAATGCCTCTGCACCTAATTCATTTTCGCCTTCAGGATGTCAAGAATAGAGCAATTCTTTTATTCCAGCGATTCCCTATGCGCTCATTAAAGGCGGCGTGCACAGTAGAAAAAGCTACATGAATGACCCTACTACTCCTCTTATATAATATACTATAAAAATTAACATTATACCATCCTAAGCCCGCATCATGTTTATACCTGGACAACCACAACACCTTCCCCATCTGTGCACTTTTCCCTCCTTCACTAATCTATTGTTAGATTTCAATGAAATCACTCTTCCACTCACTTCAAATAGAATTAGAAGCCATGCATATAACGCAGTATCGTTATGATAATCCATTTCTTAGTATCTGTTATTCATAACAGCGATAGTTTGTTTTGTTTTTCGATGAGTTTTTGTATTTTTATTTACTATTTAGATATGAGTCACTACTTATATGTGGTTTATAACAGATTTCAAATGTAATGTACTCGTGATGTTGAGGATGTTTAAACTCAGTGATGTTTGATATCTAGTACCATAAGAAATTACTTGTTTTAATATTATGATTGTTATCCATTCCATTCATCATTTTTCTTTTGGTTGATTAATTCCAAATGAGTTTTACAATAAGAAGTACCTAATGTTGCACATTGCACGCTTCCGCGTTTCTTATTTTGATTAATTCTGTCGCGTATATAATGTTATCCTGGACTGGTAAACTATATGATTATTTTGAATCTAGTATAGCTCGCAGGAGATGGGAATGGAAATTTAGAGTCTCAGATAAGCTAGGGGAGGCGCCCTGTAAACAGCGAGAGCAGTAAGAAGTAGATTAACTATTCAGAGGCTGCAGATTAGATTAATTCATCATTTTGTTGCTGGGTACAACATCTCCGCTGCAAAAAAAAAAGTAGGGCAGCATCAATAATACTATCATTTCAATATTATTTATTATATACTCGATGAATTAATCTTATCATTTAACTATATACTGGATTGGCCTTATTAATATCATATAGTAATATGACTATTTTATTATTATTATTATTTAGTTCACTACATTATCTATTTGTCTTTCTTAATATCTATTTTATATATAATTATGGTACGATTATAACTATATAATTCATATTATTATTAATATCATCAATTTATAATCATTTACAATGTTGAATTATAGACTTTAACCACAGGTATGCCATATATGTATGTATTATATATCTCACAATCACTATAGTACCGCTAGAAGTCACCTCCTAACCTAACTAACATACGCCGTATACCTAATATAACTGTACAAAAGTATAACTGTATTAATACTATTATATATATATACTATATGTATAGATAACGTATATATATATAATACCCCTATGTACCTACTCTACCCATTTTTTCACTGCTATATACACCTATTATATGATTAACTACCTACTATCCCATCTCCCTACCCCTACCCTCATCCAGTTACTACCTACCCCCTCACATTACACGGCAACTAAGCTGCCTCTCGTCGCGAACAAACCAACGCTGACGAGTTCAACTACATCGGGTGTCGTGCTGTCGCTGCGTGGCCTCCGCTACCGGCCCATTCTCTACTGCCGTTACGTTCATCGACCTGCAGTGTTATAAGACTAAGTGAGGTGATATATACTCTCAATTCCACTTGTAATTCACTATCATTCAAGGGAATTTGGTAAAACATTTATGAGACTACCGTAGGTTGTCATTTGGTGACGGATATATATACCCGTTTCCTATTATATATATATATAATATTATATATCACATACAATATATAATGTATACATGTGAGCGCGCGCACAGACCACACACACATATATATGTATTATCATGGTGTCATATTATGTGCGGTCCGTTCCCTTTATTTATTGTTTATGATTAATGATGTGATGTTAGCCTGACGGTGCCTGTCGCTGTTTGTTTCGGTTGCTGGCGTTCGTCTGTGTCGCTTTCTCCGTGTCGGTGTTCGTGACGTGTTTTGTTTAGGTGGGTTGTGTGATAGTGTTTATATGTGTGTTGGTAGTGATATTGTGTGTATGTGTTGTATTGATGTAAGTTTAGTTTAGTATAGCGTTGGTGGATGTATGTTGTTGTTATTGGCGTTGTGTGGTTGATTCTGAACATTGCTAATTGATGTGTTAATCTAAATATATATTCTGACATATTAATATATATATATATATATACTATATATATATATATATATTATTAATATATATATTAATATTAATTATATATATATACTATATTATGTGAGTGTGTGTGTTGTATTAGTATGTATATTAACATAATAATATCATTTATAAACATATAATATGTGTATATAATATTAATTATATACTTACAATATATATGTATATGTATAATGTTATCTAACTAATATATATTATATAAACTATATATACCTTAATATATATATTATTTAATCACTATACATTATAGTATTATATTTAATATATTAATATATATATGATAATGTTTGAGAATATTTGTATGTCTATGTGTGAATGTATAATTATATTATGTATATAATATGTTAATGTTATGAATATGTATATATGCATATATATAATATATATATATATATTTATATTAATTAATATATATATTATATACATATAGAATCTATTTCCTATATTAATGTATATAAACATAGATTATATTATTTATATATCAATAATTTACTATATTAATATATTAACATATTAAATATACATGATATCTATATATTATACATATACAATTAACTGTATTATATTATAATATATACACCATATTAAACATGTAGTAATATATAATACATAATATTTAACATATACACTATAGCCAATAATATAGGTGCCTATAATCCTAACGTCCCACCTCATAAGGTCTAAATATGTATACGTGATTGTACACTTCTGAATTTATTACCAGCAATATACATATACAAATGTAACACGCTGCACTATTCCGCGCTTCTCGATGGCTGAACCTGCCGTAAATCTCCGCACGATCTAACTCATAATGATCCGGTCGTAATCATAACTCACTTATAACAAACTCGTGTGTGTGTGTTTGTGGTACTCTGTGGCTATTGGTGCGAGTGTGGTGTCTCCGCTGGTTGTGTTAGGTGTGTGTTGTGTGGTGTGTGTGTGTGAAAGATGTGTGTGTCGGCCATCCGCAGAGTATTCAGGACTATTACGATCCCCCCAAGACATAGGTTGGTCAGTAATTTTCTGTAGAGGTATGGAAAGACACCGCTGCCCAATCATCCTTAAAATACTGGTCACCAATGAAGATCAGAAGACGAGGCTGTTGGGTTCGGTTCATTGTTTTTTTTTTTGTTTTTGTTTTTTTTTGTAAGTGGTGTGTCTGTTCTTAAAGAATGTGAATTGGCTTTGTGATCTGCCCTGTTATTTTTTGTTCGTTCAGTGTCGGCCTCAGCACCCTTGCCCCCGTTCGCCTCCCTGTGTTTCATGTCATTCGTTTATCTGGGTTTAGTGTTAAATGTTGTTCAGTCAATTCTCAACTCTGACTGTTACCTTCATCATATATATGATGATAATAGGATTAGTATATTATGTATATTGTATTAGATAATTAGTTATTATAATAAATATATTTAGTATTTTGAATATGTTCTTATAATGTGGAATTAAACTAATTCATTTTAATTGCCACATAGCAGGAATAGATCCAAAGTGATCCACTGCTTATACGTATTATATCTCCAAGTGTTGCATGTCGTGAAAGATAGGTGACGCAAAAATAGATAAGATAAATGTAAAAGAAAAAAGATGGGATGTTGCAGTATGTGGGTCTCTATCTCCAGATAGCCTGTAATATATTGTGCTTACTCTCTCATCTATATGAAGTGTGTATAAGTGTTGAATGTGTACCAATAATGGGCATGAGGAGCATGGCCTCTTCTCTAAGGATCGGACATGTGTTGCGTCTGTGAATATCTGTGGTTAGTTGATATCTGATTGGTGCAGATTTCCTAGTATGTTGTGTGTTGATTTGGCTGCTAGCGAGTATGAAGTATGAGGGTCGATTCGATGGAGCTTTTCCTCATCGGTTTTAAGTCGCTGTACATGCTTTTCTCCTTTTCCTTGGTCACTTTCACTGCGCTGTCACTTTCAATGTCACTTGTCACTTGCATGTCACTTTGTCACTTGAGCATGTCAACTTTCACTGCGCTGAGGTGCATGTCACTTGTCACTTGATGTCGCTGTCATGTCACTGCTTCAGGCTGGTTTTCCGAGTCCACTTTCACCTCTTAAGTCCTTCCCATAGTCCGTCAGTCACTTCACTTGTCTTAGTTGTCACTTATGTAGTGTCTGACGCTGCCTTACCTCCTGTCCTTATCTATCCCTGAATCGCATCATCTCTCTCCATATTTTCGTCTAATTCATCTCTCGATTTGGTATCATCGACTTTTTGTTATAGTCCTCCTCACTTTTCTTTGTTTTTCCCATTTTCTTTACCTAAATCCCGTTTTCTATCACTTACGTTTTCTCTCCCTACAACCTCGTTTTCTTTCCTCAACTCGCGTTTTCTTTCATATCACGTTTTCTTTCGCATATCCTCGTTTTCTCTCACTACCATTCGTCTCTTTCTCTCGTTTGTTTACTCCTACTCCAATATTCTTTCAATCATCCCATTCTCTTTAGCCACCATCATCTTTCCTCTTTTTCAGGAGCAGAGTACTGAAACCTTTCCAACAATTTCTCCTCTTCCTTAAAAGAAAACAAAGGAGACCGCCAAGACATTCACACGCCAAGATTTAAGAAAAAAAAAACACATTTATTCAGATCTAACACTCAAAATCCTCCCGAATTTTCAGGTCGTTGATTTAGGTGTTGTTTTACACCCCGGGGCGTATTTTAGAGACCTATGGAATGTCTTAGATGCTCTTGTGGTTTTGTGCGCTCTCATAGCCTTTGCTTTCCTGTGAGTATAACGACGGCACAACAAAACCTTAGATTGATAAACCTTTAGAACTAAGCATTCTAGTCATGTCACTCTTTATCTCTGTGTCACGGCCATCTCTGTGATTGACACGTTCACGGTCTAACACGATGTTTTTTTTTTTTGGAATCGTATCACGTCACAGTCCTCAGGTGTTAGAGAAGTTCCCACGTCACGGTAAAAAAAAATAAGTTATGATTGATTTTGAACTAACGCTGACGTCTTGAGTTTGTTATTTCGTTGATTTGTTTTATTAAGTGATCATGACACGTTTTCTGTTTTCGTTGTTGCGTTTTGTACACAGTTCAACGTTTTTAGATACATTTCTGTTAGTTGATGTCTCTGTGCGTGGCGCCATAGTGTTGATTTTCCAAGAGAGTTTAAAATCTAATTTTCATGTATTTCTTCCTGTTCAGAAATTCATTTATGTCTTGGTCACACCTCGCGGTAAACATTGTCTCTGTATTGTGCAAATGGCTATATACACAACAAAGAAATACACATACGTACACATATATAGACGTAGAACATACACGCGCAGGTATGTGTCTATGCATGTATATGTGTGCAGTATTACACTCCTATGACGGTTCTCCGGTAAATTCACCAGCTGCACTAGTGTTACGTTCATATCATTCTCTGACTCACGCTCATCACACGTTCAATAGCCGCCACAATGCACACACACACACTGCACGGCGCCCACAGCTTCTGGTGGCACTGCCATAAGTTCCTCACAGGTCACGAGGTCACACAGCGGCGGGAACAGGGTCAGGTACGCCGGTAAGTTTAGGACACGATTGGAAAAGGTATTAAGCTCATGGAAATCATTAACTACAGTCTTTCCGCGACTCTCTCTCATTCTCGTAGAAAAGAGCGTCAGATCGAGGTGACAGATGTGGTAAATCCATCTCTTTTCACGCCTCTCACCATTTTTTCTTTAAGTTTCCCCTTATCACCATCCATCACACGTCACTCAGTACTCTTGGCTCCTTCTCACATCCTCATCACATGGAGTTTTAGATTCCATGGTCTCCCTTTTCTGGACTCTTCGTACCCTCTAGATAGTATGGCCTCTGCCCTCTAGAATACATCCGAGCCGTAGCTAGATTCTGCCTCTAAACTATGTCCTCGTCTATAAATAAGGCCTTGTCCGTTTTTTATTTCTATAGACAGGTGTACATCAGTTCTAATTAACCTGTTGTCTCTTTAACTAAAAAGTCCTTCGTCCTTAGAATAGTCACCGTCTGTCTGTACCAAGGTCTTCGTCTAATCTTTCTTGAACTTTCGAAAATAGAAATCTACTTTTTTTGTACCTCTTCCAGAAATCCAAGATCAAGTTTTTTTCATTTTTTCTCTCTCTAAAGATGGATTATTTTCTTCTTTAAAGATAGATCTCGATTCATTTAGACATACTCTTCTCTCTTCGAATATAGCAAAATATATGTACGATTTTCTACTTCTCCCTCCTCCCCCAATCTCTCTATTGTAGCCAGTTGATGTAGCTATTTCATTAGGAACCTTTAATCCCCCGTTAAAACACCTTCATTCCTATTCTTAAAGATTAAAACTAAGATGGAAAACAGCCTGATAAGAAAACGCAAAAAAAAGCAGTTTACATGCTAGATAATTTGATAGGACAAGTGTTTCTCGAGAAAGAGAATAATAGTATTTAAAGAAAATGAAAAAAAAAAAAAAAAATCCTGCTTCAATTTGATGGGTGAAGAAAATGATTTACAACATTCAGTAACAGCAACAAGGTATTGCTTTGTAGTCAGACTTGCATAAGGGCGACAGTTCCTTGGCTTATGCAAGGATTGACGTCCTTATTGCAAGAATCAAACATTAATTTCTAACATTTTTTTAATAACGTAATATAGATGTTTTTTTATTGACTTTGCTGTTACTGATATGATGTTTTATGAATTAGATGTGTCCTTATTTATTCATAATTATTATTTCTATTGTTATCAACATTATTATTAGCAATTCTTTTCTAATTATATTTATAGTTAATGTTTTTTTTTTCCATTATCATTTTGATTATATTACTATTATTTTCATTATTATTGTTGTTGTTTTTATGTATTATTATTTTTTTATAATTATTATTATTATATTCATCATAATTATCATTTTCATTTTCTTATCTTTCATCATCATTATCATTTGCATCAGCATTTTGACCATTATTTTCGTAATTTTCATACCAATTTCGTTTTTATTATCATTATCAACGTTTTCCTTTTCTTTATCATGATAAACATTGTCATTATCATTATATCATCATAATCATACTCATTGTCATTATCATATCATTATATTATAATAATTTTTCGTTATATCTGATTTAGCATTAATTGCTTTTACATTATTGTTATTTTCCTTTGATTATTAAGATTTTCGTATTTTCGTTTTTTTCCCTGGGTTAATCGTATATTGTTTAATTCATTATATATTTTATATTATATATTATTTTATTTTTTTTTTTTTTCATAATTCTTATCGTTTCTCTTTAATACTTTTCGTTTTACCCCTGTGTTGATATTATCGTTCAACTTATTATTAGCCATAATACAAATTAGTCTATTTAATATGATTATCATAATTTTTTACCTTTATTATGATTATTATTATCGTGATAATTAGCCAGATTGGTGCTTATGTAATAGGCCGAACCAGCAACTATGACAGAATTACAATATATATCATTCATTTTATCGATTCATTAATCTATTTTGCAACATTCAATCAACAAGATTTCTTTATGCAACGCCCCTTCTGGCTCATAGTTGCTAGTCCAGCCAGCAGGTGTTTTAACAAGTGTTCAGTGTCACCTTGGCTTAAGTCAATTGTGCATGATATATGCCAATATGATAGACCATTTTAAATGTTTCATTGTTATATGGAGACCCTTTTGTAAGTTATAGCATATAAGGTAGACCCTAAGTGAAATCAGCTTAAATTATATATGTAAAAAACAGGAAAGGTGGAATCTAAAATGATATAGCTATTTTAGACCCTTTGATAATATATATGCATCTAGGTGTTACCAAACTGATAAATAAACTTTTAATTTTTTTTTTTCTCTATTTGGGACATAAACGACTTTTTGTTCTATCGATGATGCGGTAATATCCCCCCCCCCTCTTCCTAAATTTTTCATTCTTGAATAATAATCCAAAAAACTCATATAGGGCAACAAATAAGCTACTACAGCTTATCTATTATTTTTACTATTTTTTACTATTTTTTCCATACCTTACTCCCCCTTCTGAAAAAAAAATTGCCTTTTAATTCCCTTTTAACAGCCAATTATATCGCGGTATTGCAGATAACGTATCATGTCAAACAGATAACTTGACATATCAAAAAGAAATCTTACCATATCAAAACGATAACCATGTCATAAAAAGATCATAAGTTGTTTCAATAAACTACTTAACATTAGCAAACTGCTAGTTAATTAGATTTCAATATTTCGATGTCCAAAGAGCATTTTTTTCCGATAACAATAACCTCTTGAAATAATTATAGGATTTGTGGGGTATCCGATCTCTTCACTCCCCTATCCCGTCGAAAAATTAACGGGATTGAAATGTCTAAAGAGAGAAGTAGAAACAAACAAACCAAATTATGTTTAAAAAAAAAAAAATCGAATCTGCTAGGAACTATTTTTCTCCTATCCTTTCCTTTTCCACCTAAGATCCCTTATGCATTAATTTGTTGTTATTCGATTATCTCCTTCTTTTTTTTTCTTCTAGGCTAAGTTTAGGCTTAATATTCGCTCTATTTAGGCTAAGTAGGTCCTATCTTGGCTATATCAAGTAGGGCCTTTTTTAGGGTCAGGGATCACACGCTCATGTATTCTCTCCCTCTGCAGACCCTCCCTGCAACTGAAGTAAGTGAGAGGAGTCCGTGGAGTTATATATAGTGAGAGGAGTTGCCTATTACCATATTACTATTATTTACCATGATTCCTGGTGTATGCATTTTGCACTTGATACATATTACCATTGATTTATTTCGATATCCTTGCAACTACCGTTTACTCATCAGCTTTTTTGCTCATTGCTATGCCAATATTTAAAGGAGCATGACAAGGTACTATATGAGAGGTTTGGGTTCACAAAATTTGCATATACAGACTGTAGAAAGTCGGACTTGAGAAACGCCGGGAGATCAAGTCCTAACAAAATACCAAACCTCTCTTGGACAAGGTTGATTCTTGCCGGTATAACAACTCCAATGATGAGACAACATACGGGTCATAGTTGCATGCTCTAGGGTAATGAGTGACCGCGAGGGGGACCTCCTCGGACCCCCTAGACTACTAAGGGGTTCTGGGATCTCCTACTAGATATTTTAGAGCCGAGGTTGGAGCCGGCTGTAGTCTGCTGCCTTGTGCCGCCATGAATGCATGTTCTTCTTGGTTTTACCACTCATTTACTGCGAGACATCACAGACCCTCGACACCCGCAGCCTCGAGATCACTAGAAGGCTGCGGATATATATATATTTCAACCCGGGTTTCTTGTGTCTTCGACCTTCCTTCCTTCTCCTCCTTTTCTCGCTCTGTGTCCCTCTCGTTCTCGTTCTCTCTCTCTCTCTCTCTCTCTCTCTCTCTCTCTCTCTCTCTCTCTCTCTCTCTCTCTCTCTCTCTCTCTCTCTCTCTCTCTCTCTCTCTCTCTCTCTTCTTTCCTCGTGGTCTCTTCGCGCTGCTTTCTTTCTTTCGTATTTGTCTTTCCCTTCCCTCTCATCCTCTCCGCTAATTCTTTACCTCCATTGATATTCATCCTCTTTGCCTCTTCCCTCTTTCTCCTTCCTTCCCCCTCCTCCTACTCTAACCGGGTCCCCCCACACACACCTTCCCCCCTCCCCCTCCCTAACACACACACCACAAGCCAACAATGCTATCTTGTTAACCACCATATGTTCTGACAACTACAATCGTCTACATGGAACAGGAGAGAAATTTCCAACAACAACAAAAAATAAGCTTGTTTTATTTTCAAATCTCATGCCAGAGGTATCCACAATATCTTTTAAATTAACCAATTACTTTCTGTGATTACATACACAGGCTGAATACCATTACTCCTTGATAACGATACACCCTGGTTAGGGTTTCTCTCATAGCCAAGTGTACCGTCTGAAACATCTAAACATGCAGAGCGAAATGTTTCTCATGTGTAAAGAAAAATATATCTCTTAAAAAGCTGTCCCAATGACACATTTATCCAAAAATCAAAACACGCACAGAATAGTATGGCCAGTGTGTGTGTATTTAGGATACAGTCTTATCAAAAGCCGTCACAAGATAAGGCACACGGTACGCCCCACCACAGCATTCTCTTAGGCTTCTTGACCGGGCTTTTTTGTAGTAAAAAGTCCATGCCGACTCCTGTTTTAAAGAGCCGCTTCCACCACCCAACCACAGCAGATCTAGCACCAGCGACAAGTGCAACACAACAGCAACAGTCATACAATAGCGACAACCACAGCGGCGAACAGGTGGTTCTGAGACTGTATTCCCACACTAGACACTTAGACACTTACCTCCATCCGCTCGCCGAACAGGAGGAGGAGGAGGAGGCGAGATGTGCACACGCTGAGGATGCTCACAGTAGAAACATGTGCTAAACATGCTCTGGACGCACATGGGTTTCTCAATTGACACGCTGCACACCTTTACTCTTGGTGAGAACATGGGGGAACATAATGGTATTCATGCTGAAAAGTGTGTTTGGTAAAATCAAAGATTGTTGCCCACGACACAAGTGCTTCTAAAATAGACCAAAGTTCCAACCCCTAAATTACTAGATTCTAGAACCAGCTACACACAAAAAGCTGCAAAAATAGACTAGGAGCTGTGCGTTCTTCGCGCCAAGATCCGAGCGGCGGGAGCGATGTCTCTGGGGCCTCTGTGGACTTCGCCATCTTTCTTGTTCCGATATTTTGTCTCTTTTTAAAATCATTCCTGCATTTTTGGAGCAGGTGTTTTCCCGGGCATTTTGGAGCTTTTTGCCCCATTGTTAAATTCACTTCAAATTCAGTCAAATCGCGAAAAAAGAAAGAAGGTTCGAGAGAATCTACTCCCCTGAACTCGGCCGTCTGCTAGAACGCATGAAGTGATAAACAACAAAACAATATAATGGTAATATTGATAAACGCAAAAAGATTATCCCTCAACCGCTTGTCTGAGAGGAGAATCTTCTTGTGTGGAACCTAGAAGATGGAGAGGGATTCTAACCTGTGCATGGATTAATGGATAAGACACAGTATCCGTACATTATGATATACAAACACAGTGATAAAACTACATTTTTCACACTTCAGTTGATATGACCGTCTCACGCGGCACTAAGATGATATACTTTACAGTGATGATATATATATATATAGATACAAGAACCAGATAAATTCATCCTACAATAATTTCTCTAACAAGTGTATTGTTGTGGCCACACGTACCTGTGTGTGTTGTGTCTTGCGCGGAGTAGTCTGCAAGTTACGTCTGCACTGGCCTGTCTTTGGAAATTGGTATTTCGCCTGTCTTGTAGTAGCTGAGATGCATCTCGAGTTTATATATTCTATATTTTTCATAGACCAAACAGCATCTCTACTTATTCATTTCTTTTTAAGTGTTACAAAATTTCCGGACTTATAAATGTTGTCAAAAATCCAAATGTGACTTTGTCACGTCACTTTTTGTTATCAATTTCATTTTTTCTTTTCTTTTAATGACTAACCTGATTTAAAGAATTTTCCCAGACCAAAAAAGAAAAAAATCAAAGCCATAAAACCAGCAGACAAAGCATGCTCGTGTCTGCCTTAGTTGTTTACTAACTGGAGTATGTGTGTTGGTGTGTGTGTGCAGGGGAAGCAGCACAGGCCAGAACCTGAGCACCATCAAGTCACTCCGAGTGCTGCGTGTGCTGAGGCCCCTCAAGACCATCAAGCGGGTACCCAAGCTGAAGGCGGTGTTTGACTGCGTCGTCAACTCCCTCAAGAATGTGTTCAATATTCTCATAGTGTACATACTGTTCCAATTCATCTTCGCTGTTATTGCTGTACAACTGTTCAATGGAAAGTTTTTCTACTGCACCGACGAGAGTGTACATACAAGAGATGAATGTCAGTGAGTATTCCAATTGTTTTTTTCGTAACTGAGCTTTTTGATGATATCGAGGTAGGAAATAGGTCAATATTTCACCTGTCTTTCACCACAATTAGTGTTCAGATTCTACCTGTCCGTAGTTCTCTCAGTGCTGCAATGCATTCTGAACGAGACATCTCTACACCTGTTCTATGTCATTACCTGTAGATTAATCTGTAATACGTCGAACTGAGGACATGTACAAATACTTCAAAAAAGATTCTGTACGATCCTTGTAGCCAAAGAGATTCTCGCCTGCCTGTAGAACTCAAAAAGTCGTAGAGAGTATCCACATTCGTATCAGAAGTTAGACATTCAAAAACCACAGTAGGACAAGTGGGCACTGGACACCCACGCTGTTGAACTACCGTCTTAACTCAAAAGATAATAAGAATAACGAAATAATCATAGAGAAATTCCCCCACCAGATTAAGTGTTATCCACGTGGCCTCCCTTCCCCCCTCCCCCCCTTATAAACAAGGGAACAGCCCTTAGTGCCAATCTCGATGTTGTTTAGAACCGTCTCACTTCACTTCCTTTCTGGCACCCCGCTGCTTGCCCCACAGTACCCCCACCTCCCCTATAGTCCCTTCCCACGAGGGGGTTTGGCCTGCCTCAGCTCCTCGGCCCCTGGACTAACCCCTGTCCCTCGCCCCCAGGGGAGAATACTTCGTCTTCGAGGGGTACGACCGGCCGCCTGAAGTGAGGCCGAGGAAGTGGAATCAGCAGAGCTTTCACTACGACAACGTGATGGCCGCTATGTTGACCCTCTTCGCAGTCCAGACAGGCGAGGGTTGGCCTCAGTAAGTAGGCGGTCGCTAGGTCTGAAAGACAACTTCCGTCTCAGATTGTCCTCTCGCGAAGATGGGTCTAAAAGAGAGAGAAGGGAGAGTGTGTGTCTCATGGGTCTGAAAGAGAGAGAAGGGAGAGAGTGTGTGTGTCTCTGAGAGAGAGAGTGAGGGAGAGGAAGAAAGAGAAAAAGGGATATCGAGAGAGAGAGAGTTTGCGAAACAGAAATTGAAATAGAGTAAGAAAAAAACACATGAAATATAAAAATCCCTCTTGACCCCCAAATCACCAACGTCACCCTCCCTGCAGTCACCCCCCCCCCAACCCCCTCATCACCCACCCACCCTCCCTTAAACCCCAAATCACCAACTTCACCCTCTCTCCAGTCACCCTCCTTCACACACCCCTCAACACCCACCCACCCCCCCACCCCCTACTAACCCTCTCCCCTCCCTCCACCACCCACCCTCTAACCCCTCTCCCTCCTCCACCCCCAGAGTCCTCCAGAACTCCATGGCGGCGACATACGAAGACCACGGACCACAACCTCAGGTCGCCGTTGAAATGTCTCTCTTCTACATTGTGTATTTCATCGTGTTTCCATTCTTCTTCGTGAACATCTTCGTTGCTTTGATCATTATTACGTTCCAAGAGCAAGGAGAGGCCGAGCTTCAAGACGGAGAGCTCGACAAGAACCAGGTGAGGGGGAAGGGTCTGGGCTGAGAGAGGGAACTTGGGGTCTAGAAGGGCGGAGAGGGAACTGGGGGTCTGAGTTTTGGAGGGGGAACTTGGGGCTAGGGTCTAAGTAGGAGGGGGAACTTGGGATCTAGAAGAGGCTGAGTTGGAGAGGGAAGTGGGGTCTAGAGGTGGGGGTCAGAGTTGAGAGGGGGTTGGGAAGGAGGTGGGGTCTAAGTAGGTGAGGGGGTCTAGAAGAAGTTGAAGAGGGGGGGGATAGGGGTCTAAGTTAAAGAGGGGGTCTGAGTAGGAGGGAAGAGTTGGGGAAGGAAGTGGGTCTAAGTAGGAGAGGGAGTGGGTTCTAGAGGGGTGTAAGTTGGAGAGGGAAGTGTTTCCAGAAGGGTCTAAGTTGGAGAGGTCTAGAGTGGTCTAAGTTAAAAAGGGAGGTGAGATCTATGTTGGAGAAGGAGGTGGGGGTCTAAGTTTATTTATTCATTACATAGTATTCACTCATGGTATAATATTCATTCATAATTTGGAATTCATTCATGATTCAGTATCCATTCATGTTTTGTTATTCATCGATCTAGTATCTACTCATGATTCAGAATTCACTCAAGACATAATATTCATTCATAATTTGTTATCCATTCACGATATAGTATCCATTCATGACTCAGTATTCATTGATAATTTGATATTCATTCATGATTTGATATCCATTCATGATATAGTATTCACTCACGCTATAGTATCCATTCATGACATAATATTCATTCATAATTCGTTATTCATTCATGATTTGGTATCCATTCGTGATTCATTATTCATTATTCATTCATGATTTGGTATCCATTTTATGACTCATTATTCACTCATGAAATAGTATCCATTGACGACTTGTTTTCCATTCACGATCTGGTATTAATTCCTGACTCAGTATTCATTCTTATTATTCTTAATTATTTATTTTCTTAATTAATTAATTAATTAATTAATTCTTAATTATTTATATTCTTAATTATAGACTCGTTATTCTAGTATTCTTGTTATTATTATTCTTAATTAATTATTCTCAATAAATTAATTATTTATTTCATAATTATTTATATTCTTAATTATAGCCTTGTTATTCTATTATTTTTGTTATTATTATTCTTAATTAATTATTCTCAATAAATTAATTAACTATTTATTTCTTAATTATTTATATTCTTAATTATAGACTTGTTATTCTATTATTCTTGTTATTAATATTCTTAATTAATTATTCTCAATAAATAAATGAATTATTTATTTCTTAATTATTTACATTCTTGATTATAGCCTTGTTATTCTATTATTCTTGTTATTATTATTCTTAATTAATTATTCTCAATAAATTAATTAACTATTTATTTCGTAATTATTTACATTCTTGATTATAGCCTTGTTATTCTATTATTCTTATTAATTTCTTAATTAATTATTCTCAATAAATTAATTAACTATTTATTTCGTAATTATTTACATTCTTGATTATAGACTCGTTATTCTATTATTCTTGTTATTATTATTCTTAATTAATTATTCTCAATAAATTAATTAATTATTTATTTCGTAATTATTTATATTCTTAATTATAGCCTTGTTATTCTATTATTCTTGTTATTATTATTCTTAATTAATTATTCTCAATAAATGAATTAATGATTTCGTAATTATTTATTCTTAATTATAGACTCGTTATTCTATTATTCTTGTTATTATTATTCTTAATTAATTATTCTCAATAAATTAATTAACTATATATTTCTTAATTATTTACATTCTTGATTATAGACTCGTTATTCTATTATTCTTAATTAATTATTCTCAATTAATTAATTATTTATTTATTTCTTAATTATTTATATTCTTAATTATAGACTCGTTATTCACTGACTCTTTTTACCTTCAGAAATCGTGCATAGACTTTGCTATTCAGGCGAAGCCCCTGGAGCGGTACATGCCAAAGGACCGATCTAGTGTAAAGTACAAGATATGGAGAGTCGTCGTGTCAACCCCTTTTGAATATTTTATCATGTTACTGATCGTGTTCAATACACTGCTCCTCATGATGAAGGTAAGGTCTCCTGGTCTCTGGGTCTTTCACTTCTTGACGTGTGGGTGTGTGTTTTTTTTTTTTTTTTTTTTTTGGGGGGGGGGATGTTGGGTTTGTAAGGTTAGGTTTAGGTGGATTTATTAATGTTTTTTTTTATTCTGTTTTTTTTCTGTTATTTTAGATTGAAATATAAAATGATTGGTGATTTGTGAATTGAAGATTTAACGTACTTTTATAGTTGAGATTGTTGTATAGGAGTTTGACATTTTTTCTTGTCAATATGATACGGTTACTGCATGTGTGACAACTAACCAGATTTCTTTCAGGACTATTGAGTGATATGTAGATTAAGTCTCTGATCAAGACACTGTGCGGAGAAATTTATTCCATCTCCCACTCTTGCCAAAAAAAAAAAAAAAAAAAAAAAAAAAAAAAAAAAAAAAAAAAAAAAAAAAAAAAGCCGGTCAGCTGGAAAAACCGAAAGAGAAAATCAGGAAATTCCAAAATGGCCAGATTCCATAAGCACCTTTAAACTGCAGTGTCTTGACGTTTTACATTTTTTTTTTTTATTCTTTTATTTTTCTTCAATTGAAAAGCGGAAGGAGTCAGGACACAAGAATAGTGCTAACCGTCCTTTCAAAAAAACGGTCAGGGTTGATCCTCCCCTTGGTTGGGAGGACCAAAAATCAACCTTATTGCCCTCTCTCGGTTAGCGCTATGTGCCTATTGCTTCGGACCGTCCCTTCATAGCAGGCTGTGGAGGTCCACTCACGCTCTATTTAACTGTGTGTGGTCAGCTCGCGTGGTCTTTAGAAGCCAGGGTAGCCACGCGGGGCACGCGAAAACAACCCGTATAGCTCTGTTTTCCATTTTGATTGAAATCTGCTACCCTGGTTTCCCCCAAAAAGAAGCGAAACGGGGAGCTGATCGCTAGACTGTGAGACTCGAGACGAACACTGCCTGGGGATCCCGTCTGTCAGCTGGTGTCACGCCATGCCACTCCTCCTCCTCTTTTGTTTAGTGAGATGCTTGTTGATCCCCTTGGCCTCGCATGATGGAATGACGTCACTATTCTTTTCTTTCTTTTCTTGTTTTTTTTTTTGGTTTGTTTTTTTTCATTGGTTTATGGTTTGGTAGTTTTAGGTGCATTTGAGAAAAAAAAAAATTAAACGATTTTTGGAAAGATTTTTTTTTTAATACTTTTTTCTTTGATTTTTCTGTTATTTCAGTATTCCCCCATTTTTTTTTTTTTTCTTTTTTTTATCAAGAGTTTGATCTGCTTTGATATATGAATATATTTATTTTGCTCCTTATATCACGTTGAGGCAGTAATGAATAATTAGTTTGAATTTGCTATTAATTATTATTCCTTGTAAGACCTTTTATCGAATAGCTGATTGTGCAAATGCGGTTAAAAATATTGTACATACATTAATGCATATGTTATTATTTTCTGATTAGTATGCAGTTTCGATTCAATGGAGATTAGAACATGACCAGTTTGTCTAATCCCAATCCTGGATGCCCTTCATTTAATAGCATTCATAATTAGCAGAAAATTATTTTGTGTTTGATAGCCTTTTTCTCTTCCTAATTAAAACCCCCTTCATTAAATCCAATTATTTCCCTTTAACCATACCAATACCCGATAATTTTTTTTTTTTCCTTCCTATTGCACCGTACATATTGCCCGCCCAAGAATGTTCAATTGCATGCTCGCTCCAGGCAGTGTTATCTCGGTAAACAATGAACAAAATCAAAGGGTTTGCCTGACTTGGCCTTACGGTGTTGACTGCAGCATCCATCACAGCTTGGCATCTGTCGTTAGCTCCGTTTCACTGCATGTCTCTCTCTCTTTCTCGGCATTTCTGGCTCTCGGGCTCTCTCTCTCTCTTGCTCTTTCTCTCTCTTTCTCTCTTTTTGGGGGATCTGATTTTGCTTTCTGTCTGTCTTTCTGGCTGTCTCTGGCTCTGTCTGTCTCTGTTTCGCTCTCGTTCTCACT